TTAAACTTTTTAGCCCCCTTATACCATGAGTACTTGCGAGGTGTCTTTGGTGCTGGCTGAACAGTTTGAACAGTTTGAGCATTCCATGCAACTTAGTCAAAGTTTTCATCACATTGTTCATGTTGTAGTTTATAACAAAATGATCATAACTTGACGACAATGACTGCATGATGATGTCAGTAGCCAGCTCTTGGCTTATAAGGGAATCCCGTTTTGCCAAGTTATCAATATAATTCATCATCTTTATGACATGTGGGCTAACTAAATTGTCTTTTGGCAGCTTGCACTCAATGAGAGCCTTAACTATTTGGTATCTCTCAGTTCGTGTCTGCTCATGTAACATCCCTTTTAGGCTAGTGATTATTCAATCGGCAAATCCACGTTTGCATATTTCTTTTGCAAGTCTGAGTTCATGGTATCCAACACAAGATGATACACATCAACCCTGTGATTGAGATGTTTATCCCAAACATTCTTTTGTGCATGTCGAGCATTAGTCTTAGGTTTTCATGAAATTTATTTTCCATGACATAGTCCTTGCTCTCCTAATTGAGCACAATTCTCAACTTTTGATACCAATCGAGGAAGTTCGATCCATTTAGTTTGTCCTTCTCAAGGATGGATCACAATAAAAACAAATTGTGAGGGTTTGACATAGTTGTCGAAAAGAAGAGCAAAGATTAATATGATGTTCATTACTTCGGGAAATCTCAACAATTAAGAAGACTCACATTATATTCAAAACAATATTATCTTCAAAATGAATATAATGATCCAAAATCCTTATTTTACTAAAATTCAAGTGAGCTTTTGGCTCATCACCCAAGTGTCTAGCTATTTCGGTAAGCAACACCGTTGCTAACTATATCCAATACAATAATTGGTTATTGGATGTCATCTTATGTCAATCCAACATATGTCTCTAAGTCCAATATCGTTTTGATAGCCAAGTCAAGTAAAACAATCTCATTTCACATGGTAACCATTACCATATGTCTCACTTATGTATATGTAGACACCATGTTTGACATGATTGTCACACCCCTATCCTAGATTTTCTATAAAACCCTAGTCTATTTCGGAAAAAAGCATTATGGATTTTGTTTTGGGTTAAATGGAGAATACTAATTGGACCGAAAGAGAAGTGAAATCAAATGAGCAAATCTCATTAATATATTTTGATTGTTTGGACCCAATTCATTATATAATTTCCTGATCCCATAAGCCCAAGTCTTGTCAATCTCTTATTCTATATGAAACCTTTTAGCCGAACCCTGCTCTTGTTATTGGG